TTCTTGAAGATGGGGACCACATTTGCTACCTTCCAATCATCTGGCACCTGGCCCAAGCACCACGATCGCTCATAGAGCCGTGCCAGGGGCCCTGCAATAACCCCAGCTAGCTCCCTCAACACCCTGGGGTGGAGATCATCCGGACCCGCTGACTTGAACGCGTCCAGCCCCTCCAGAAGCTCTCTAACCCGGTCCTCCCCAACCTGAGGTCTGAAGGCGATCCCCTCAAGTCCGGCTTCTATCACAGCAGGGAAGTCCCGGTCCCTGCACAAGAAAACGGAGATTGCATACCCTACTGATAACACCTATTTTACCACTCATAGAGAGAAAGGAAGGGGCACAGGAGGCAAACTTGACTTATATAGGCATCTTTTTGCATCATACTCTTCATCCAGATCAATAATAGGACTAAGTCCTCCCTTCTATACTATAGCAATGATCACTAAATGGAACCAAATGCAATATGAGAGTTGATGCAATACTGAAATCATTAAAAATGAAAACTATTTCTTTCTGAGTATACTGAACTAATACACTTTATCCTCACACACTTTCACTTTCAATAGCCAACACTTCCTCCAGACCATGGGCACAGCTATGGATACCAAAATGGCCCTACAATATGCTAACCTTTTTATAAGCCCCCTGGAAGAGGAATTCCTCAAAGACTGAACCATCAAACCCTTGCTATACATAAGATATATCAGTGACACCTTCATCATTTGGACTGAAAACCTGTAATCTCTGATTGATTTCCATCAGAAACTCAACAAGCATCAACCCTCCATCTCTTGAATACTCTAGCACCAACATCTCCTTTTTAGACACTATGATCACTATCCAGAATGGTAAAATACCACCATATACAAGAAAACCACAGACCAACATACATATCTGCATAGAACCAGCAATCACCCTAAACACACCAAGAAAGCTGTAATATACAGCCATGCCCTCAGATACCACTGAATTTGCACTGAGGAGAACACCTGTGATCATCACCTCACAAATCTCAAAACAGATTTCACTCAACAAGGATCCTGCTCCAGAGAGATAGATCACACTTTTAAAAGAGTTACCCAGATACCATACGAAAAATTGTAGCAGTACAGAAAGAACCCCCCATGAATCCCATACCACTGGTTATGAAATAGCACCCCTCCCTGGAAAATCCTCAAACAATTGCAACCCATACTAGAAGAAGACCCAGTTCTTAAAGCGATCTTCCCAGAACCACCCACCCTAGCCTTCAAACAAGTACCACCCTCCAACCTCACCACCAGAAGCAAATTTCCTACAGCTCAAAACACACCAAATGAATCCAGATCATGCCATGACAAGGAATGTAAAACCTGCCAACATATCTTTACCACCCCCACAATAACTGCACCCCACAACAGCATCATCAGCATTCCTGGATCTTATACCTGCACCTCCAGAAATGTAATATATCTCATCTAGTGCATTATGCCCTGATGGAAAATATGTAGGAGAAACCAACTGCATATCAGAATGAACACACACCAGAAATCTATCAAGACAAGAACACCCAATTACCTGTGGGGGCACATTTCTCACAAGAAAACCACTCTCTCTCCAATCTCTCAGGTCTAATCCTTAAAGAGAAGTTATGAAACACCTTTCACAGATGAGCCTATGAACTTCACTTCATCATCCTACTCAATACAAAAAAATTGTAGACTAAATATAGACATTGGACTTATGATACATGATAACCTGCCTAATACCTGATACCTCAGGTAGCCTCTCTACCATTTACTAGCTTTATCCCCCTCCCCCTGCCACACCGGTCTCTCACTGCCTCAATTTACATTTTCACTGACTGGCTTTCTCCCATGTATACTGGCCTCTGGCTTCTATTCCATCCAGGAAGAGCACAGACCAACTGCAGATGCTTCCTCAGCCTCATGAAAGGTGTTTGTACCTGCAGGCTTGAAAGAAGATGTTTTTCCAGCTATTTTAGCTGGCCTACTAAAAAATACTGGATTTACCCAAAGAACCTTGTCTACAAAATGTACACTATTTTTTTAAGTTTGCTAACTGAAAAGGTCTACACCTGGAAACAAAAACAAAAAGTAATACTTCCATTGTTGAGGCCAATTGGGGCTATATAAAGAATGAAAGACAGAAAAAAAAGTTCTGTTTTTTCTATATTTCTCCAATAACCAAAACAATGTTCCATAAACAAACTACTTATTATATTATTTTATTCTATTGTGAAATTCAAGACCTCTTTTTATAAATACATTTTTAATGTAATGATACTTAACCATGTGACAATAATAATGAATGAACAATCTTTATAGGTGTACAGAAAATTACAGGAAAATTATTTTAATAATATCAACTCGCATAAGTAGACAGTGTTAAAAGTGAACCAGAAGATTCAGTATAACCTTGAGAATAATGTATAAGAGCATTCATTGGCTATTATTCTGTACATATATAAGCAATTATATTAACTTCTGGTTGAAGACAAAACCCAAAGCTTAACATCTACAGATGTTTGTAAAATGTGCCTAACAGATTCTTAAAAAACACGTCCTACATAAATAGCATTCATGATCTTGTTTTACATCATCATTAGAACAGCCACATTCAAATACATTTTAACAAACTTGCATACAAATGGTTGTGATAAGCAGGGAATTTAACCAGTCTGAGGTTGCCCTGTGGTTTGTGTCTGGTTCAGAATACTTATCATCAGCTGGAAATCTGGCCTTTCAAAAACTGTGCACACATTTACATTCCAGAAAATTGTTTATCTCAGTTCTAAAGATTACTTATTAAAGCTTATCCTTGTATTTGCTTATTTGTGACTGCTTATTAAAGGAGATGAATATCAACATTAAAGCTTTCTATTGCCTGAATGCATGTGCTCAGTCTCAGAGAAAATTCTTAATTTTCTTTTGCAAGGCAACGGAACACCTGCATACTTAAATACCAAAGACGATTTGTGAATTTGACCTTCATCAACCCATTCATCAGGCTATTAACTCATCCTCATATTCATTTTAAAAAGGTTAGAATTTTCCTTGCAATACCTAACTCCAATTAAAATGAATAATATACAAACATATACATTGAAGTTACCACTCTTTTCTAGTAGTAAACTTATTTTTTTCCAGAGAGAAAAGACAAAAAACATTCAAATATGAATCAAAGACAGATCACGTAGGATCATCCATTCCTATTTTATATTTTAACAAAAGTGTTCAAATGAATGAAGCAATACTTCCTAGAGCATAAGCATATAATATCAGATACTTTACCTAATAACATATGTAGCATTTGTCCCTGAACAAGTTGTTGCTATGTTTTTCTTGGAACACAAAAATTCTGGGATTGGCTTTTACATGCATCACCCTTCTAATTAATCAGGATTTAGCAAACGACTGAATGTACTGCTTTTCTGCCATAGCTTCTATTATGCAGCCACAGAATATGCATTCAGAAACACTTTCCAATGTCCTGGAATAAACTGTTAGTATTTCTTACCCTGGGAATATTTTATAAGATTTATCCGGGGACAACAGGCGTCATGGGTTCTATTGTCCATATTACCAACACAGTTTACAAACTACTGCTCCTTTGACCCTTAGGTTCACCAAAGTATTTATTACAACTGCAGCTATTTTCCAATAGTGAATATATGTTAAGGGAGAAATGGGGAAGCATGGAATAAAAACATGCTCATGTTACTAAGCTAAAAGCGTTTAATGTTATTCATCTGCATTCCCATACTTCTTTCACGAGTAAATGGAATCCTTAAAAAATTAAGAGGTTTTAGAACTATGAACTCAAAAGAATAAAATTGTAATTACAGACTATACTCTTCTAAGGACTGTTGCTTCAAATTTTCTTGCTGAGTTATTTATTTTAACCTTGTGAATAATTATTTTGTGAAGAATGAATTTCTGCTTAATTATTGTCTTTTGCGTGTAAACACACAACAAAATTACTATGAAATAATTACCCTGGATTTTACTCCATAGAAAATTTACTCTAAAGTAATGAGCAGATACATGGCAAGCTTTCTAAGAAACCCATTACAAGCAGCCAGATATTACAGGATGTGGACAGTCTTTGGTAGAGAGCCAGTTTATACTGAGCAAATGGCAAGTAGAAGTGTAGACACATACCCACTACACTGATATAATTTATAAGCTAAACTAGGGTACAGTGACTTGGAACAGTGAAAGAATGTGTACTTGTGTGCTTGCTTCACTTTTACTTCAGGCTAAAAGCAGTTTATATCACAGTAAATGTGTTTTTGTATCTTACCCCTTATATCTTCAGCATGCTAAATCAAATTTGGTGATGAGCAGGAATCCATTGAAAAATGTGGATTTTGGGTTACCTTTTTACATCTGGAAATTGGGGATTTTTTTTTAATCAGAAAAAACCAGGATCCCTTGTTATGAGGCAAGCAAACAAGCAAAAACCTTATTACTTTTGAGAATGATGTAAAGGTCAGAAAGTCTTACTTTTGTATTCCAGGTGAAAACCTGCTGCTGCCACACTAATATCAGAGTGAAAGTGCAGGTAAAGTTGATTGGAAGTGCTATTCAACAATGCTGGCACTGTGGTACCTGCAAGAGACAAGACTGATTAATCTTTGTTAAGTAGAACATCGCATATGGTATTAAAAAAAATCTCCCATAATTTTTCACTGAGCATACATGAACAAGTCTAGAAATAGAAACAAGCCTGTTCTCTCCTTGATGTACCTGGAATTATTATTACCCTGACAAACTTTCAGTCAAATTTCTCTGACAAGTTATGAGATTCTCAGCATGGAGAGACAAGTTATACTGGGATGAAAGGCATTGTGGAGCGCTTGCTATGAGTCAGCTGCTCCACAGTAAGTTTTTTGCATGCCTGCCATTATCCTCCTGGAAGTAGAAGCTAAACAGCAGTAAATTTATCCCTGTTTCATTCACAGGTAAGCTGCCACCATTTAGCTCTCACTGACTGGGATAGCAGCTGACTCATGAAATAGTTACCACAAAGCAGCTGATGCACAGTAAGTCAAGGGACTACCTTCTCCACCTCCTCATGCACTGCTTCTACTCAGTCAAGGAGGTAATCTAACCAAACCTGGGAACCTCAAAATCAAAAAGAAACTCTTTGAAGTCAAATGCTTTTTCATAAGATTCCAGCCTTGATCTTGAAACCTTTGGTAATGGCAGCAGTTGAGCCCTTTCTAGTGATGACATCCTGAGATTGGAACCTAAAGTAGCAGCAACTTTAAAGAGAGCACCAGCTGATAACAGTCAGTTTGAAAATTATTTCACTGGAAAAATGGAGAGACCTGTTTCTTTGTGTAAAGCCTGAGAGACTACTTTGTTTCTATGCTCTCCAAAGAGCTCAATGACAAGATGTGTGGACGGATATCAGAGGTTTGCCTGCCATTTCAATTTTGCTTGGAGTTGTCATTGTGCAAAGCCATGTCTATGGAGGTTTCAATGTACAGAAAATCAGGCAGGTGAAGTATCCGTCATGTAAAGACTGGTAGGGGGAATGTAGTTTAAAGTAGATTTTATGTTGTGCTTTTTGCTTTTGTTATTTATTTGGGATTTGTTTGTTTCTGTGCTTGTTCCCAGGGGTTCTCAATAAAGACCTTTACAGTCACAGACTATAGCCAGAATACCTAGGGTTGAGACCATGTGTGTGCAGCAAAAACATCCCCTCAGTCAGATGCTATGACTATATCCTTTACTAAAGAGACCAGAACAATCTAAGACACAATTTCAAAAACCTTTGAATTCTTTGGTACAAGTAAGTCTTGCTGCAAAATTTTCATTCCACCCAGATGTGTGCTTTGGGAATATGGAATACTCCAGCCTACTATATTGAGATGTGGCAGATGCTAGGGAGATATGGAATATTCAAAGGCTATTGCATAGATGCCTTAAGTGTTATATATATCTTTCTTTCCTGGCTCAATGGGCAAGATTCCTGTAGGAAATAAAGTCACTGATGGATAATTAATGCAAAACTCTAACGCCTATTTCAACGGAAAATAAATACAAACTGTATAAAGAGGCAGCCCTGAGCTTGGGCAGAAGACATTCACATTGCATCTAAGAACTTAAGGAATGTGAAAATATATCTAATAGGGTTATATGAGGGAGATAAGAGATACCTAGTAAGTTTAGAATATGAACAGTTTAGGATATTAACCCAGGAGGTACACAGTCCCAACAGGGGGAATGCCCTCCTGGACCTGGTTCTGGCCACAAGCGATGACCTGGTGAGGGGACTCCACGTTCTTGACCACCGGGTGACAGTGATCATCGCCTACTGGAATTTGCCATACAGCACAGGGTGTCAAGGGCCTGCAGTAAGACAGTAGCCCTTGACTTCAAGAGGCCCAACTTCAATGAGTTGAGGAGATTGGTTGGAGAGGCACTGGGGTCCTGGAGAGTTGGGGAATTGGGTTTCCAAGATGAGTGGTCGTTCCTTAAGGAGACGATCCTCCATGCCCAAGTGGTGACAGTCCCAATGAGAATCAAAGCAGGCAAGAGTGCTCAAAAGCCCCCCTGGCTCACCAAAGGCATTCAGGAATGCCTGAAAGCCAAAAAAGAGGCATACACCCAGTGGAAGGGAGGGGCTATCACCAAAGAGGAGTATACCTCCATCACTCGGGCTTGTAGGGGGGCTGTTAGAAAAGCTAAGGCAGATACGGAATTAGGGCTAGCATCAAGGATCAAGGACAACAAAAAGTCCTTTTTTAAATACATAGGGAGTATGAAGAAAGCACCAGGTAACGTTGGGCCTCTGCGGGATAGGCAATCTGGTGGTTGCACCAGAGGAAAGGCAGACCTTTTTTATAATTTCTTTGCCTCCATTTTTTTGTGCAGGTACTAGGACTCCTCCACTGAGATTCAGGATGGACTCAGGAGTGACTTTGACAGGGCTAGGGCCGGGGAGGACTGAGTTAGGGAAATTCTGGAGGGGCTGGATGTGTCCAAATCAGCAGGTCCAAATGCTCTCCATCCCGGGGTGCTGAAGGAATTGGCAGGGGTTATCGAGGGGCCCCTGGCACAGCTTTATGAGCACTTGTGGTACTCTAGCCAGGTGCCAGATGACTGGAAGAGGGCCAATGTGGTCCCCATTTTCAAAAAAGGGAGGAGGGAGGACCCGGGGAACTATAGGCCCGTTAGTCTTACTTCAATCCTGGGGAAGCTCTTTGAGAAGACTATCCAGGAGCACATCTGGGAAGGACCAGCAGGGGGGATGAGGCTCAGGCGCAACCACCCTGGGCTCATTAGGGGCAGGTCCTGTCAGACCAACCTGACTGCCTTCGACGATCAGGTCACAAAATCATTGGACGTAGGTGTTGCAGTGGATGTAGTCTTTCTGGACTTCAGAAAGGCCTTTGACACTCTCCCACCCCATTCTCATTAAAAAGCTAGGCGACTGTGGCATTGATACCTACACAGTCAGATGGGTCACAAATTGGCTGAGGGACTGCACCCAGAGAGTGGTGGTGGATGGGTCATATTCGACCTGGAGGGATGTGGGCAGTGGGGTTCCCCAGGGCTCAGTCCTTGGGCCCACACTGTTTAATCTCTTTATTAGTGACTTGGATGAGGGGGTGAAAAGCACCGTGTTCAAATTCGATGATGACACCAAGATCTGGGATGAGGTGGACATGCTAGAGGGGAGGGACAGGATACAGCTGGACCTGGACAGGTTGAGAATAGGATGGGATTCAATACTGACAAGTGCAGGGTACTGCACTTGGGCAGTAAGAACCAGCAGCATACCTACAGGCTGAGGAACTCCCTTCTCGAAAGCACAGTGGCAGAAAGAAATCTTGGAGTCATTATCGATTCCAAAATGAACATGGGCCGCCAATGTGAGGACACAGTCAGGAAGGCCAACCGCACCCTGTCATGCCTCCACAGATCATCACAAGCAGGACCAAGGAGGTGATCCTCCCCCTCTATACTACACTGGTCAGGCTGCAGCTGGAGTACTGTGTCCAGTTCTGGGTGCTGCACTTTAGGAGAGATGTGGTCAGCTTTGAGATGGTCCAGAGGAGGGCCACTCACATGATCCGGGGACAGCAGGGCAGGCCCTATGAGGAGAAGCTGTGGGACCTGAACCTGCTCAGCCTTCACAAGAGAAGGCTGAGAAGGGATCTGGTGGCCATCTACAAACTTACGAGGGGGGACCAGCAAGGAATGGAGAGACCCTGTTCACTCGTGCACCACCCAGAGTAACAAGGAATAATGGCATAAGTTGCTTGAGAGTAGGTTCAGGCTGGACATTAGAAGACACTATTTCACAGTCAGGGCAGCTAGGATCTGGAACCAACTTTAAAGGGAAGTGGTGCTGGCTCTTACCTTGTGGGTCTTTAAGTGGAGGCTTGACAATTACCTAGCTGGGGTCATATGAGTCCAGGATTCTCTCCTGTCTAGGGCAGGGTGTTGGATTTGATGATCTACTTATGTCCCTTCCAACTCTACATCTATGAATCTATGAACATACACTTAAACTGTTCATCATTTTAGGACACTGTCTCCATAATACTGCATTACCCAAATCTAAGATAACCCTGAATTTAAGATGATCCCCTAAATAGATTCTACATGTGGAAAATTTATCAATGTATTATTTCCCAGGCACTGAATGTAATTATTGCAGGGTCATATTTAATTCATCCCTCCCACAGCAACAGGGAGCAGACAGTGGGAAATAGGGAAGTCTAACATCATTATACTTTAGGTAGAAACCTGAAATCCATTCCGTTCAATATGAATTTTAGGAGACAGTTCTCTACCATCTCTCTCTCTGCAATTTGCTGTCCACATATCTATGGAAGGGGCATGTAGGCAGCGGATCATGGCTCTGCTCCAGCTCCAGACCACACTGTCACCACTGCAATAACGCAGCCCCAGCCCTGATGCAGCTCCCCACCCAGCTGCGCACCCTGCCAGTATTGCTAGAGCCCGTCTCCATAGAAACCCTGGCCCCATACTTGCGCAGTGCCACTGCTATTGAGGTCTCCATGGAAAACTGCCACAGCAACATGTGTAGGGGCTGCTAGGAAATGGTGTCCAGCCGCTGGCCAGTTTGGCCATTTAGCCCACCCCTGCTCTACATGGATCCCTGTAGGAAGAGTTGTCACTTTATGACTGTCTGTGGGACCTTTGGAAGCTAGAAGGGTATAGGAGGTGGATCCATATCTCAGGGAAAGAGATTGTAACCACTTTAATCCAAACCTTTGATCTATACTGAGCTGGAACATTTAAAAAGAAAAGGGTGAAAACCACTGAGGACCAAATGATTCATTTTTAGGAGGGAGATAATTGGAGCGGACACCTTTTATAGTATCTAAGGCCTTTCAGGTAAAACTGTCTGGGGTAAGAAGCAAAAATAAAGCCTTTTCAACCATCCTATCCCAGTAAAGGTCTTGCCCACAATTTCTGGGATCATGATTTTTGTCTTTCTGATTGTAATCTGTGAAGCCAGGCCATTTTCCAGGAAAAAGCTAGTTCTGGGGACCATAGCTTTGTTTAATCAACAAATTTCCTTTTTTATGGAACTTTCTCATTGAAAACAAATGAGAAACTTCTAAAAAGTATTTTTAATAGCCTTTCCAAGCATTAAGCATAATGAACATTTGGAAAATGGCTAATTAAAAATGATACATGACAACATCCCTAATAAAGACAGCAGATCCTGATTCTGACTCTTTCTCAGCTTCCTCACTTTTCCATGATGAAGTAGCTACCACTGTTAGTTAGCTGTAGCTACACTTTCCTGCCATGATCTGGTTCAATAATATAAATTGATCAATTAAGTCAAAGCCTAATCTCCCAACCTTCTTCCTTTAAGCTGAACAACCTTTGCAGATCTCATGGATTCAACTTTATTTCTTGTCCGCACAAAGGTAGCTTCAATCAAGAGTTGCCCTTTGAATAGTCAAGATAATTTCTTTCCTCAGTGCTCTCTGAATATCTTGCAAGTGACCCTTATCTGTCTTTTCTATTCCCCACATCCACTGTGTGGGAACTAAGGAAAGCCTTTCACTCCACTTTGTTGGAGTTTCTCTTCAGCAAATTCACCCCCTAGCCCTGGAACGCTCTTGCTATGCAATAGAATTAAGCCTGGACTCACTCAGAATACGTAAGTCTGAGATAAAATTAAGTGAACCATCCTCTGTAAGCTTGGATTCATATTTGTAGGGTTTAAATAACACATTCCTTTAATTAAAAAATATATTTTATGAAAGGGGAGTGTAGCCAGATTTGTCTAATGTACTGTGAAATGTAATTTGACACAACAAATTACATGGTTTGTTGTATCTTTAGTTTCCCAGTTTGTTCTGCTTTCTGAGGTGTACTGAGCTTATATGAATACCAAGTGACTTAATCTTCTTCCTAAAAGTGTGAGGCCAACAAGGCCAAATTTAAGTGCAAGTAACTAAAGCATAATGCCCAAGGGTAAGCTCCACTTCATGTTAATGAAGCATATTTACATAATTTACAAATTACAATTGACAATGGGGAAAATTTTTCAAAGTTACTGTCAGGCTCCTAAATCCCACTTATTTTCATGCAAAATAATGTATAAGAAGGCCTTTGAAAAGTTCTCTCAGTGTAATTACATGAAAAAAAGTTATATCTGTTCATATATCTAACTGAAGACTAGAAAGTGGCTTATAAAATCATGGAAGCCTTCCTACCTGCGGTATCCATATTCTGGCCACCATTAAGAGAGCTAGTTTATTTCAGTTAGAGCATACACTTACCTGAAAAACTCCCAAGTCGTGGTGCTGTCATATCACCACCATCATAGATTTCAAGAGAGTCCCAGTTATGTTCTGTGGCAAAACTGATGACCTGGATCTGTAAAACAACATCACTGAGTTTTTGGGGGTGGGGTTTAACCAAAAGTTAAATGTAGACAAACTAAAGAAACAAAAAAAGAAGAAACAAATCCTACAAAATTAGGCACAAAGAAAGAAAAACAAAAAAATTAAAGAAAATACATCTGATTCTCTACTGCCTTCTATTTTTATAATTACCAACAGTCATGCCAAATGAGTATAAAAGCATTATCAAATCAGAATGGAAGACTTTTGTGTGCATCTTATACGGGTAAAATACAAAGTACAAAAAAAGTGCAGAATAAAGGAAATGTAGACCTTTGTTCCTTATTGTACCTCAGAGACATAAATGCAACCGTAAAAGAAAACATAGTAGACTGCAGGGCTAGGATCTACTTTTACTATTCTACTCAGTTAAAAGAGAAAGCCGGAAGTCATGGCACCCTTTCTTCCCTGATCAACAGTGAGCAAAAAAGAGATTAGAAAGTAATTTTTAAAATAATGGGGCAAAATATGTGATTATTCTTTTCTAATTTGTCTAGAAAACAAAGAAACAAAACCACTGTGCTATGAAGCATTTATGAAGCATCTATGTTTGGCAGAATATGGACTTGCCTGAATACCTGATCCCTCAGTCACTATGATTTTCCACACACAATTCAAGCTGTTACCATAGGGTTCAGGGTAACCTGGTGATAAGATAGTGCCCCTCCGTTCAGTAAAATTTCCACTGCATGGCACTGAAAGACAATGTTAGCAGAAATTATGACACTGCCAAAAGCACTTCAGTGAACAGAAAAGTAACACTAGCAGTGCAGCTTGATCTAATGTCCATAACTCTCCTTTTCTGTTGGAAATGCATTAGGTTTAAGTGGTGGTCTGCACTCTGGAATAAAAGTTTTCAATTGCATGAAATGTAATCAGGACACCTAAATCTACAGAACCTCTAATATTCCTTTCAGCTGCTAAAAGACACTGCAGTGCATTAGATGTTATTGTTACTATACAGTCCAACTTTTCCTTAGATTCCAAGAAAAGACTCCTCAGAAAATGAGTCACTGAAAGCTACTGTACTTAGATGATTACAGATAATTATAATTTAAATACTTTAGAGTTTATTTTCCTCTTCAGACAGACACATAACTCCCATGGATATCAATGAATTTATGCAGAATTCCAGGGAAAAGAAAAGAATGCTTTAATATTCACAAATAAGTCCAAAGTACTAAGCATTATTCCACCAGAGGCTTTTACAAAAGGAAGCAAACTGACTAAAGCTAATGATGGTATTGGTATGCATTGTACATTACTACTACTTACATCTGTCTGTCTGTCTGTCTGTCTATCAATCTATCTATCAGTATACATCTGGTAAAAGGGTACCACAAAATGGCACAACAAATTGGCATTTTGTCAGTTTTCACAGAACGATGTTCCATCCTACATTTATAACTTTAAAGGAGTCATGTAGTTAATAATATTCAAGAAAACATGCATCACACTTGTTAATCTAATCTATGAAAGAGCATACTGCCTACCAACCAGCTGCTACTCAATTACTTTTGATATGACAAATTGCTCTTTTAAATTGGACATGACTGGTATTAATCAATGGAGAGTGTATCTATGTATTAAATATTATTTTCTGAAACAACTCATGATTTCTGATTTGAAGACTTGGGTACCTCAACAGATGACCTAAGATAATTGCTTACCTACGCAGCTTGGGACTGTGTCATTCCACTGAGCTAAAGCATTAGGCACAGACTGGCACTGGATAGCTTTAGAGCCTTGCAGCAGATACCCAGCGCTACATTCAAATCGAACAACAGAGCCTGCTGAAAACTCAGAGCCAATTCTCCTCCCATATCTAGGCTCTGGAACAGAGCTGCATTGTGTATCACTGGTACGTGGAACAGCTGCATGAACAGAAAAAAGACACCATTACCCAAAAAAGCTGTTTATTATCTGAGAAAAAAAAAACAGATTACTAAAAACATATACATTTACCATATGAAATCTAACTCCACAGAACATGTTGTAACTTATGGTATCACAAAGCACTTAAAAGCATCTTGCCCATGTGTCTTCTTGCAGTCGTGTTTTCTGGGAATTTGGAATGGTATATGGTACCTTCTTCAACACCTGCCGTACTAGTACACTAGTTGTAGTTGACTTTTATAAAAGTGATCTTACAATGAGTTGATACTGTTATGTAACAGAAACTATCATTGCTAAACTAAGAGAATTTTGTAACAATAATTGTAGAGAAAAAACATGATAGGATCCTTTATTGGCTCCAGGGCTACCAATTTCCTTTGAGGGTTATATGCACATGCACACACAAAATCAAAAAATACTTTTAAAACAGTAGAATTCATTAGTGCTGATCTGCGCCAAACTCTGACCAGGGAGTGGTATGTCAGCTGCCCTACATCTGGAATACCCCCAGTAGACATCATGACCTGGAGACACGCCAGAGAATCAGAATTTCTAACCATTTTTTCCCTTCCTGTTAATAATATATTTCTGGCCTATAGAAGCAGCCAAAGGTTTCACTTTTCCCCTCCCAACAGCTCCATCCTCCTTCTGCTCCCTTAAGCGGTGTAACAACATGGCCAGGCACCCAGGGCAGCTACTAGCCACAGGGGCAGTGGCAAATTCTGTTTGCCATTGTGCCACTTGTACAGTTGTGTGACTCCAGCAGCAGCTGTGGGGGCTTTTTCTGTCTCTCCTCCCCCAAAGTCAGCATCCTGGTGACTTCTTTGGTTGTTCTAACCTTGCTAAGCCACTGGCTTACAATACTGACAGCTTTTCTGCATGTGTTTCATATTTGTTTTTCTGTCGCACATACAACACTAAAAACAGCCTGCATGCAAAATATAAAACGTTTAATGAAGCACTGACTTTGTTCATATAAAGTATATTATAGTACATATATTTGTTCATAAAGAGATACTTGAAGAATTATTTTAGTATATTGTGGGTACATCTACATATGCAATTAATGCAACCGCTCCTGGGCACAGCATCTACATGTGTGCCTGAGACAGCAACAGTTTCAACCTGGGCAGAGCAGGCCCCTGGCTGGCTGGGCTGACCAGGACCAATGTAGTTAAATATAAGCAATATATACAATGTATGAGGTAAAAAAACCCTTTCCTGAAGAAGCTTTTGCGATATGCAACCTGACTACAATAAAAACGTGTAGTGTTTTTTTAACTTGCTGAAGCAATCATCTTTAATATGTTCCCTTTCATCTTCAGCTTACAAAGACACAGTAAACATATTTTATTTGAGTCACTAGGATATATAGTAGCACAAGGTTTAAATTCTCAGCCTTATAGATTCATAGATTCATAGATGCTAGGTTTGGAAGGGACCTAAAAAGATCATTGAGTCTGACTCACTACCTAGGCAGGAAAGAGTGCTGGGGTCAGATGACCCCAGCCAGATGCCTATCCAGCTTTCTCTTAAAGACTCCAAGCACCACCTCCCTTGGAAGCCCATTCCAAATTTTGGCCACCCTTACCGTGAAGAAGTTTTTCCTGCTATCTAGCCTAATCTGCTCTCTGGCAGTTTGTGACCATTGTTCCTTGTTACCCCAAGAAGTGCCCTGGTGAACAGAGCATCTCCGATCCCTTGCTGTATCCCCCTAATGTATTTGTAGGTGGCCACACGATCACCTCTCAGCCTTCTCTTGCAGAAGCTGAAGAGGTCCAAGTCCCTCAGTCTCTCCTCATAGGGCTTGTCCTGTAAGCCCCTAACTATATGAGTGGCTCTCTTCTGGACCTTCTCAAGTCTATCAACATCCTTCTTAAAGTACGGTGCCAAACTGGATGCAGTACTCCAACTGCGGTCTAACCAATGCCGCATAGAGGGGAAGCATCACCTCCTTGGTTCTATTTGTCATGAATCTGCTGATGTATGATAAAGTCCGGTTAGCTTTGCTGATGATTTCTTACGTTCATCTTGGAGTCCACTATGATGCCAAGATCCCTTTCCATTTCTGTGCTGCTGAGAGGGTCACTTCCCAGCCAGTAGGTGTGTTGGATATTTTTGCACCTTAGGTACAGCACTCTGCACTTGTCCTTGTTGTACTACATCTTATTGTGTACTGCCCACTTTTTTTAACCTGTCCATGTGTGCCTGCAATCATTCCCTACCCTCTAAAGTGTGCACTTCACCCCACAATTTAGTATCGTTTGCAAACTTGGACAGAGCACACTTCACACCCACATCCAATCACTGATAAAGATATTGAAAAGTACAGGTCCGAGGACCAAACCCTGTGGAAGCCCACTACCCTCATCCTTCCAGGTTGATACCGACCCATCTACCACCCTCTGGGTATGACCGCTCTGGGTACGACCCATCTATTACCACTCTCTGGGTATGACTGCCAATTTGCCACCCACCAGGCTGTGTAAACATCTGTGTCACAGCCTCTTAATTTATTTATGAGAATGGGATAAGATTCCATATTGAAGGCCTTGCCAAAGTTCAAGAAAATGACATCCACCTCTCCTCCTGCGTCTAAGCATTTTGTGACCCTGACATAAAATGAAACCAGATTGGTCAGGCATAATCTACCTCCATGCTGGTTTCTCTACTGCATTATTTTTCCTGCTGGACTCCCATAAATATGATCCTTCATAATCTTTTCAAAGTCCCTTCCAAGGATGGCGGTGAAATTGACTGGCCTATAATTACTTGGGTCCTCCTTGCTCCCCTTCTTGAAAATAGGGACCACATTGCCATTTTCCAGTCCTCCAGGACCTGACTCAAGTGCCATGAGTGCTCAAATGGTTCTGCTATGACAACAGTCAATTCTTTCAGTGCTCTCAGATGAAGCTCATCCAGGCCTGCTGACTTAAACACATCCAGTCCATCCAAGTGACTGCACAAAGTCAGCGTCAACAGTTGCTGGGCTGGTGTCGTTCTGATGCCCATCTAAGAACCCATTAGGAGACTTATCTTGACCCCTGTTCAGGAACACCAAGGCAAAAAACTCATTGAAGAGCTCAGCCTTGTCCCTGGCTGAGCTCTTAACACACAGCCCTAGCCCACAGTGTGCACACACCCCCACAGCTCCAGACCAAAGCACATATACACCCCACCCTTTGTTTGTCATCAGTGCTAATCAGCATAGCCAGAGCATTCCTAACTCTACTAAGCTGTGTGGAGCCTGGGCTGACTTAAAAAAAAAAACATGTTCCAAGCCAAATCAGACAAATCAATTCCAAATCCATGAGTCATTCAAGAACCATATATGACCTTACTATCAGCAAACATCAGCCACCCCCACCTAGGGCTTAAGATGCTTCCAAATCCTTTGGCAGGCATCCTACATGTAGGCCCAAGCCCACAGGCTTGTGGTTCAGATGCCCTCAAGTTTTGCTTGCCCACAGCCGTATGGCCACAAGAGCAAGCTAGGAAGGATTCTCCCATGTCCATAAAGTAGACTTATAGCCAAGATCTTCCCATTGGAAGAGAAAGTGTAGATCTTGCATGACCAATCCCATCACCTTCTATGACCAGGTGACCTATCACCTAGACAAGGGAGAAGAGATTGACATCATATATCTGGACTTTAAAAAAGGCTTTGATCTGATGTTCCATGATCTTCTCATGGAAAAATTGGACAACTGTGGCCTTGGCTACACCACAGTCTGATGGCTGAGGAATTGGCTCAGACTAAGTGGCCTATAATTACCCAGGTCCTCCTTTCTCCCCTTCTTGTAAATGGGGACCACACTGGCACTTTTCCAATCCTCTGGTAACTGGCCAGAGCCCCACGAGTACTCATAAAGCCATGCCAGGGGCCATGCTATGACCCCCACCAATTTCCTCAGCACCCTTGCGTGGAGAGTACCTTTGGGGCATAGTGACCACACCTGAGGATAGGCTAGTGATGCAGGCTGACTTGGATAAGCTTAGTACGTGGGTGGATATAAACCTGATGATGTTCAATACTGAAAAATGCAAGGTACTCCACCTTGGGGAAAAAAACTCGCAGCATGCTTATAGACTTGGCAGTGCTACACTCGCTAGCACCATGGCTGAAAAAGACTTGGGGATCATGATTGACCATGAGATGAACATGAGCCACCACTGTGATGTTGCAGCTGGTAAAGCAAATAAAACTCTGGCTTGCAACCATAGTTGCTTCTCAAGTAAATCTCAGGATGTCATCTTCCCACTGTATTCAGCCTTGGTGAGGCAGCAGCTGGAGTACTGCATCCAATTCTGGACTCCACGATTCAAGAAGAATTTCAAGAAGCTTGAGAGAGTCCAGAGGAGAGCCATGTACATGATTAGAGGGCAAGAGAATAGGCCTTATAATAAGAGGCTGAGAGCCATGGAACTCTTCAGCCTGGAAAAGCGCAGGCTCAGGGATCATAGAATCATAGATGTAGGGTCGGAAGGGACCTTGTAGATCTTCAAGTCCAACCCCCCGCCTGGGCGGGAGAAAAGACTGGACTCAAATGAGTCCAGCCAGGTAGTCATCAAGCCTCTGCTTATAGATCCCCAGGGTAGGAGCCAGCACCACTTCTCTAGGAAGTTGGTTCCAGCTCCTAGCTGCCCTAACTGTGAAGATTAGACATCTTGCAGATGTCTAATCTAAATCTACTCTCTAATAGGCAAGGATGACCTGGTTGCTGCCTATAAATACATAAGGGGTGTGCATCAGGATCTGGGGGAATGTCTGTTCACCAGAGCACCCCAAGGGATAACAAGGACCAATGGTCATAAACTCCTCCATGACTGTTTTAGGCTGGACATAAGAAAAAACTTCTTTACTGTTCAAGCCCCTAAGGCCTGGAATAGACTCCCTCCAGAAGCGGTGCAGGGACTCATTTAAGAAACGTTTGGATGCCTGTCTTGCTGGGATCCTTTGACCCTAGCTGACTTCCTG